TAATAGCATCTGCTATTTTATAGTTAAAGCCGCAGGAGTAGAGGAAATGCATTGCAACATCCATTGGCCGAATGGATCTCGGAACGTTTTTCGGAACAAATTCGTACGTCCTTTTTTGCCGAAAATTTGCCAAATTTTAACATAAATTCGTTGCTATTTTTCATTGCAGACAAATCTATTTGCTCGGCAACCAGATCAGGCTGAATACTGATGTCAGGCTGAAGACTGATATCAGTAATGATGTTTGCTTTTCGCAGACACCGCTTGGGTCTGAAAGTATGAGGCTGCCTACTAAATGAAATTGTCGACTTCATACTTTTCGAAGCAGCAAGTAGATTAACCACGAAAACAGTCGGAAAATTAAGAATAAACTTACTGTTTAAGCTTATATAAGTTGCTGAAAGCAAGACAGAAGGATAGCAGAATGCTAGGTCAGCAAGCAGAAATCAAACCAACGAACGGAATGGAAGCAGATTTCTCACAACGTAAGTACTGGTACTTACGGATAATTTATAAAAGGAAACGAAAGACTATTAGTCGTATCTTCTCTTAGATAAATCGATTTATACAAACAATAGACTTAGCTCAAATTTCGAAACCAGTGCTCGACCTTGACACGAGAAAGAGATGGCAGTTTGATAAAAAGTTATGAGTCTTTAGGAATGGAACAGATTCGCTCTTAATGTTCCTCTCCATGACCTTGTCGAAGATGCATGTCAAGCTTATGGGTCACGGACGCCCGGCTACTGCTTTTGTGTAGTGGACGTTTATGTGCCAACTTAAAATAGGCAAAAGGTGTTCTGGAGTCAAGTGAATTTTGAATGCACATTGACAGAGGTACACAGATGTCACTGGCAAGTTCTTTGAGAAGTTTGGGTTGAACTTGGTCCGGGAGATTACGAGTGTCTTATTTTATCTAATTCCTTTCGGATAAAAATAGCTGAAAAAGTGATATTCTAATTTTTAGGGTCAGCAATTCGTCTGCGGAAGGTAAAAAGAACCTTGCGCTGTTTGTGTAGACTGATCGAAAGAACCATGAAAGTGCCTATTCAGCCCAGAACAAGTCAAGAACACAAGAAGCTGGATCAATGGCAGTTGCCTGGCGCGGCATGTGTCTGTGCTTAGGAGTGCCACAACACCTCCAAACTGTATCATTTTTTTATGCGATAATACTTGTCGTGCCCTGATCTGGCCTCAGTGTCGGTCCGGTTCATCTACTTCCTATTCCGTTATAGGGCAAAATGCACGCATTCAACAATTCGTTTCGAATGTCACGATCAAGGCAGTCCTCTTTGCACTTGGCTGCCTGGCTACGACTGAACGGTGAATTGGGCGTCCACTACACCCCTTTCATCCACTAACTTGCTACCCCGCGTTCACCTAAACCGGCTCTGCGTATCAGATATTTGGTATGTCCAGTTGTGCTTACTGAGTATTGGTTGCTGTCGCTGTCGACATTTGGTGTTAAGTGTTTAGCCTCAGTCCCTCACTCGAAATGGCAGCGTCGGCAGTATTCGTACTCGATGTGAAGGGAAAAGTTCTTATATACAGAGACTACAGAGGTGACGTCGACATGGGGATAATTGAAAAGTTTCTTCCGGTTATCATCGAACGCGAGGAAGAAGGCAATATATCCCCCGTCATTCAATGTGGGGGCGCCAGTTTTGTTTACGTAAAGTACAATTATTTGTATTTGGTCGCTCTCGCGAAGAACAACGCTAATGCTGCGTTAATATTTTCTTTTTTGTACCGCCTTGTAAACGTATGTAGCTGTTTCGTAGTACCACTTTAAGATTTTTCTCGAGTACTTTAAAGATCTGGAAGAAGAAAGCATACGGGACAATTTCGTCGTCACATATGAGCTCTTGGACGAGGTCATGGATTTCGGCTATCCTCAGACGACGGATTCGAAAATTTTACAGGAGTACATAACCCAGCAAAGTAGCAAACTCGAAATCGCCCCTCGACCACCTATCGCCGTAACTAATGCCGTCTCTTGGCGTTCGGACAGTATAAAATACAGACGGAACGAAGTTTTTCTTGACGTCATCGAAAGTGTCAATTTACTGGTAGGCGATCTTTACCATAACCTCTGTATCTGATAGGTGAGCTCCTCGGGAAGCGTCCTGCGAAGTGAAATCGTGGGCAGTATTAAGATGAAAGTTTTCCTTTCTGGAATGCCAGAATTGCGTCTTGGTGTAAATGACAAAGTTCGTTTTGAGTCTACAGGGCGTAAGTTATGTTTTTGTTTCTGATTGAAGTAAACGATGAGTCCATAAATGTGTTTGGCGTGAATGGGCTTGCATGTACCTCGCTCTTATTTTTTATTTTTTTTCACTTTATTTACAGGAGGCAAGGGAAAAGCTGTCGAGCTAGAAGATATAAAATTCCACCAGTGTGTCCGATTGTCTCGTTTTGAGAATGATAGGACCATCTCCTTCATCCCGCCAGACGGTGAATTCGAGCTAATGTCGTATCGTTTGAATACACATGTAAGCTTCGATATCTTGGTTTACCTAACCTCTTTGCACCATTAACAATCTTAAGCATAACTTCTGAATGAATGATTCGTAAGTCATCAAGGCTGTCGCCGAAGTCACTGTTTTCACTGTTAAAAAATATGACTTCTTCGTGTATGCTCAACGAAATTATATTAAGCTGGTCGTAAATACATGACTCAGAAATGTCAACGAACGGAAGAGGTTATTAACAGTGTTCATCGTGTCATCCACCTGTGTTGTTCTAGAGCTCACATCACGTCTTCAGTGGTCGTGCTGCCGTAAGTAGACACCTGTTTTCCAGTTTTTTATGTGTGCGTCTTCGCGTTCGTTCACACTTCTTGTCTTTGGCCGTCCAGTCTTGCGACCGCACGTATGCCATACTGGACTGTCACGCGTCAAAACACAGTTGTTGTTTTCTCTTAAACCGCTACAAAAGAAAAACAACTACCCCACCTCTTTTTAGGCAAACATTTTCTGTGCCTTCTGTGTACAGTAACCAACATGTGAGTAAATTAACAGCCCTCGTTCATCTAAATCGATACAATTGTAATTTTTCCCGATCATCGGAGTAGCTGACATCAGTTTTCCACTGTTCCCGAAAATTGTTTGAAGTTCACTAACAGTAGACTTTTTTGATTTCGCCCTCCGTTCCAACGGTTCATCAGATATTTGCGTTATCCTCTTAACTCCTGTCTGATCTGTTCTTTTTCACTTCATTTCATTTGCAAATGTGTATATCGTATTTTTTATCTCACAGGTAAAGCCTCTGATTTGGGTCGAATCGGTTATTGAGAGGCATGCACACAGTCGTGTCGAGTATATGGTCAAGGTTCGTCTATTTTTAAGAGATTTGAAAACTATTTCCAACGCGCAAGTTCTCATTTTTTCGCGTGTGTGTTGTGCTCGATTTCCATAATAATTCGAATCAGTGCATTTTCACAGCCCTTAAGGTGTTCAATATATTCGTAATCGAAGAAACTTCGATGGCTTAGAGCTTTCAGCATAAATTAAAATGGATACTCAACTAACGATTTAGACGGTTTCCGATGGCAGTGATAGGCAACAGTAGCTTAAGTAGGCCCACTCGTCAATGCCTACTCCCTTCATGTTTTCCTAAGAAACCGGTGGTTATGGGGTTTTATGGGTGGAGAATTAGGACACGCAGTGGAATATACTTTAATAAAGGCTAGATACCTTTTTATTTTACTGTATTTAGACGTC